CGGCTGTAAGTTTACTAATAGACTGTCCATCATTATATTATTCTAAGCGTGTGTTTCTGTTCAGCCATCTAAAGTCCATTCCCGCATATATTCCTTCTACGCTCAATATTAAATCCGAAATTGCAATTAAAAAATAATATACTTAATATTGGAAGCTGCTTTCGTAATTTAATGTGGTTAATATTTTTTTCGTAAATGTTTTGTTTTATATATTCCTATTTTTTACCGTATTAATATCCCTGTATTGGTTTTTATTCTATTTTAAAACATATGCATACTATACGGTTAATTTTTCAATTTTATTTTTCACAATAATATACGCCATAGGCGTGTCCAGACCTCATTCGCAGTTCATGCACAACCGTGGAATATCCAGGGGAGAAAAAAACTACACCCCCCTCTCCCGCCAATAAAAAATTCTGTTAGGGTATTGGGATATGACCCCCGAATTTAAAGATTTTAAATTAATTTTTTTAATTTAGATCAAATTTTGCAGGTCATTGCCATGACAGGCAAGACCCGTGGACACGCCTATTATATACGCACTGTATTTGTCGAGTTATTATAGCTTATACTGAGAAACTCAAATAAAAAAAATTAAAAACTTTTCCGTGGGTTAGAAAAACACCTAATATCAAGCAGAGATACCAAGACTTCACACAGTGCAAAAGATAATATTTTCTGTGAAGAAGAGTTTTATTTGTTTAATATCATCGCAATAAAACAAAAGTAAAAATATTTTTGAAAATCTGATATTTGTACTGTTTTCAAACTTAAATATCTTTATATTATAAATGGTCTTATCAAAATAATAAAAAAAGCTACGGAGTAAATACAGAGTAAATATTCTCGTTTATTCATGGTGAAAATTTGATTTCTTTGTTATAACTGTAGCTTTCTCGGTTCTTTGCTGCGCTAAACAGTTTTTGCTAAGTCTTAAGGTTCGGGCGCATAGAACGCGATCTGTCGCGGCGGGCAGCGGTCCGGTTGTATTTAAATACAGAATTTGATCTTGACTGTCGCGATAATTATATATATATACTCGTATACGATATCACGGCCCGCCGCGACAGACCGCGTTCAGTGTGCTCGGGCCTTTACGGAGTCTCCGTCTAACAAGTGCGTAACATAGAAAATTTACTAGCAGCAGATCAATTATAGCTTTGTCAGTCAAAGCATCCTATTGCGTATATTAAAAAATGCTCATAACTCGTTTAAAAACTGTACAACAACTTTACAAAACCAACATACACAGATAATATTCTTAACATTAAGTTTTATAATAGGTAGATTCGCTCAAATTGTTTAACTGACGAAGCCACACGAGATCTGCTGAACGTAAATTTGGTATGTTATGCACTTGTTAGACGGAGATAACAAATGACAGTGTTAAGTACTCGTAATATTTATATTTAAATTATTAACCTTTTCATTGTTACACTGTTTATAATGTTGCAACATTTGTACATAAAATACACATTTTTTTTTGAAGATTTTAATTTTTAGATCTATATACTATAATTATTTAAGTTTTAAATAATGCGATGTAGGGTTCAGAAAAGTTCTTAGGTTACCAGAAAATAAATAATATTATATAAATACCTAATAATAGTAAGTCTACAATGTGTAAAAGTGCAAATGTTTTGGACGTTATAGTGCATCTGGAGAAGTGAAATATGTCAAGTCAAATATTACAAATAAGGTAAAACGATGCCGTGATTGTGTAAACTGTAAGATAGCTTTTGACATATTATCTCAAGAAAATTAAAATTGAAGAGTATTAAATCGAAATGTCTGTTTTCAATAAATACAATATAAGTAGGTATAATTTTATTTGTCCTTAAAAAATGTGACCTTTATCTAATATTTTTAATTTCAGAGCGAATTAAATTGTTCAGAAATGTAATAATAATATTGTCCAACATCGTTTTTATTTTTTCGACATCACAAACATTTGTGATATTGAAAAAATATGTGATATTCACTACAATTTTTGTTCTCCACTTAATAGTATGACAATTTGACAATTTGGTTCCTTAGTGTGGACTACAGCCCGAGTGGTTGAGTGGTTCTATCCAACATAGCCAAACAGTTTTGTAAAACAGTTGTAAAATACAAAATGCGAGTGGAATGGAAAAATTGTATAAAATAAAACTATCTGAATATCAGAATACTGGTAACAGGAACTTATGCTGTGATCATTATACAGTGAGCTGTCGCCGGCGACACTTGCCGCCGCCGACGACGTGCAAAGTGCAAACTGACAATAACCGAAGGTAGCAACTAACCCATGCATAAGACCCTGGTCCTACAGGACCTAAACTCACTACGGTGTGTGATCTGACTACTTTTTTTACGTGTTGCCGTCGTGTTAAAGACACCTTGTTTGTGTAGCAATTGCGTTATGCCACATGTACATAAAGTATACGATTTTCTCAAATAATGCGCAACGATAACGCCTCTAAGACGCATTGACAATACCTAAACGTCTCCACTGGATATTATTTATATATTGAATAGTATTATTATATAGTATATGTATATAAATGTTTGGATTGTACTTAAGAGCCGCCTACCCGCCTACAAATGAATTTGTTGTCTCCGTCTTATACACGTACGACATGCGAGTAGAACATTTTCGTTTAATTTTTTTTCAGAAATAGTTTCATCATTAATTTTTTGTAAGCTCGATTTTAAGTTTGGAAATCTATTTATACAGTACTTAGGTATATTAAAGAAAGATTCCAGTTATTGGAGTTAATAAAATATATAAATATAATAGGTTATTAGTATAAATATTTAATATACTACCATTATCAATTTTTTTGTTTTATATTTTAATTTCTATTTCAAATGATGGCTTACAAAAGTTTTTATAAAATTATACACAATTACATAAATATTTCATAAATTGATTATGTTATATTAAACTTATTTAAAGTAAGACAATACATTATGTTGAAAACAGTGTTGCATTATTGAATAATAAATAATACTAATATACCTACCTAAATATTCTGATAATTTAGTGTTTGTTGCTAAGGCCCTAAGGGGGCTTTTATATGTTTTTTTTTCTAGGTTCCTATTTTGTCTATACCCAGAGATATTAAATGTTTAATTACAATGTTGTACTATCGACTATTGAATAAACTAAAATTCTAAGCAAACCCATAAATTATAATAAAACCACTATATCGATAAGCTGGTTTGTTTAACATTTTTATTTATTAATTAAAAATTCTATATAAAATTGGTTTATAGAATAAAATATACAATCGCACACGCTTATATCCGGGTATGGTGTGTTATTCAATAAGTGTACACAATTACAGAAAAACACTACAGTGGTAGTAAATGACAGTACTACACCACTGCTGATAAAACCTATAATAATATCATGTTTGTTTTTTCTATCATCCTCTATTAATTATTATCCTTTCATTCGATGATCAAAAATATATAAAAAATGCTTTAATGCTCTGTTGCTATGTCCGTTCAACCTAGGCTCTAACCCTAAGGTCGTAACCTTGTCCATTGAATGGTCAGTCGCTGGACTCCAAATCATGCAGGCTCTACTACTACTCTATAGCTTATAGAATTACATTGGTAATACCAATAGACTTTTATTCTATTGGAAACTTATATGAATCCACAAATATACATGCCTCTCTTTCAACTTGTTTTAAGTCACCTCAACAACTGAATGTCTGAATACGTAACAATATATTCTTCTGTTGCTATAATAAATATTAAATACCTACCCAAGTGAAAATATTACTGCAGCATCAAGTTTGTATACAGCTAATACTAAGTTATTTGTGTAGGTACCTATACTTATATAAAAACCTTATAATTCTATAATCAGACCATATTTTTCTATTATTATTTGAAGAAAAAAAATGGATGTCTTTAATCATCAAGACATAATACATAGGTATTATATAATAGTACACCTTTAAAATAATGGTATGGGACAGATGTTTTTCTCTTAACTATTCTGATTTTTAATGATGTAGAACATAGAAAATAACATACTACGTATCATAAATGTACGATAAAAACAGTGTATTGTTCGATATGCACTATAAATATAGGTATATATTTTATATTAGTTATACAATTTATTGCAAGGTTTCACGGTGTTTTAAAATTTTCAATCGACACCTATATAAATAGTTAGAAAGACATGAATACTTTATCAAGACATAAATAAATATACACTAATTTGCTTCATGAAATAATATTTACAATAAATAATGTACCTAACTACCTACTTAATAAAAATTATTGATAAGTCTCCAACAATCATAGTTTGTTGTTATTATTATTATAAGGCTTTGACATCTATGGTTATTAGCTTATGGTGTCCTAGTACAAGTGTATACTCATATAGTTACAATATTGAACTACAGTTTTAAATAACTTCATTATTTTTGATTTACTTGTTTACCTATACCTAAAAAGAACATGAAGAGAAAAACATGTCTGCCGATTTCACACATTGTATACTGAGTTATGGATACCAAAAAAATAATTTGGCAACCCTTAACCATAGTTCTAAAATGATGAGACTTCAGTGAACTATGAATGAAATTGGAAATATGTGTAGCAACGAGTTTAAATATTATATTACTTCCTATGATAATGATTGAATACCATATAACCGATACCATACAAATGGTGTAAGATAAATTTCTTTATACTTCCATAAACTAATTTTCAAACTTCAGAAAGCCAGAGTAATAATTAACTTAATTAATTTGTACTTAGTAATATTGATTTTGTTTTCAGTTTTGAATTTAAAAAAAATGTAAAAATGAATAATACACACAAAGATATAAGTACACTTATATTATTTAATTTTAATCTGCAATTTTAATGTAATTCAATGGTAGAAAAAATATTACAAAAAAATTATAATAATACCTTGCTCACAATAAAAATTAACACAAAATAAAATAATGTATATTATTTGTGGATTAATACAGGTACAATAAAATTAAAAATACATTTCAATTTAAAAGTGTGTTATTTTTTCTCCATGTCTTTTTGGCATTTTGGACAAAACCATTTTTCTTTGGGCTTGGTAATTAAATCGACACATGCGAAGTGGAACCATTCAACAGCACACTAAAATAAAAAAAACACCACAGAATTATAATTATGGTATACAAAAAAATATGAATGAAGCCACGTTTAGAATACAAATTCAACGTTACTAAGCTATTAACTTTTACAATATTAAATCAGATCAGTGGTCTCAAACACACAGTCCATGTATCATTTTGATGTGTTCGCCATAGTCCAAAAAGTTAAAACATCCATAATTATTATTGAACGATTAACATTTTTTTCTTTTTATAATAAATTTTAGTTTTTAATTTAACATAATTAATTATCAGTATAATATTACTGGACATTCATAATGTAATGCAATTTTTTTGATTTAATTCAATTCATGTTTCATCACAAATTATTAATTAATGTAAATACTATACATATTGTAGGTAGTTTATTTTTTTGTAATATCTAGTAGCTAAATACATAACTGCAGTAAAAATTAATAGAATTTATTTTGTTTAACTCACTGGTAATTAGAGTTTGAGACCACTGAATTAGATGTTTATGTAAAATAAAAAGAAAGAATTTTTATAAACAACTATTATATTAAAATTTAAATACTTACATCTGGGTTATCACAAAATATCATTTCACCAAAGGATACATCGTTGCATAGACAAAATAATGGTTCATTGGGATCGATAGGCATGTCTGCTAAAACTGCACCAGTAAGAGAATTAGTCTCTACTGCGACATTGGCTACGCTATTGGTAGGTTTTGTTGAACCAGAGATAATGGCTGAAATTGCAGCTTTTGTCAATGCTGTACCTCCTTAAAAAATATTATAATACATTAAAATAACCTCCAACAAGAATAAAATGTTGTTATCCAAAAACCTTTTTTCGTTTGTAATTTTCTCTTAGTGTTGATGGCAGTGTCACGTATTTCATCTTTTAATTTGTTGCCGGGTTTATATCGAGCTATTTCTAAATCTAATTCCCTAATTCGTTTATCCACCTGAAACGTAGGAATAATGATGTAGAACAACTATAAGATTACATTAACAAATCAACATCTACATACCAGCTCATAAGTTTGAATTGATAACTGCACTTTGTCGTCACTAAATTCTTTAGCTGCGTCAAACTTACGTTGAATGCTTGCCAAAGTATCAGTGGTTTTTTCTGGCGAATTCTTTTGGATATTTGACATCAAATTGTCGGCCATTTTGTCAACGTCGGTCATGAGGTTTTTAGTTTTTGCGCCAAGATCTAGCATCATACTAAAATTTCGACGTAACTCATTCGGTAGGTCCATCAAGCCTAAAATGTCAGTTTGTTAGCACTTCTTTGAAATGGTATACCTATGGGCTATAGATTACTTACTGTCAATACAGTCTGGAGCGGAAGCCATAATTACTCTAAGAATTCTAGCGTAAAAAAAAATTAAAACACTCAACAACCACAACCTAGAATTTTTTGCGTTTAATCAACAGGAAGCACACAGCACATGTACAACTATACTACTGTGAATAGTTCTTGAATAGTGTACTCCGTTATATACACCATGATTTTTGAAAAAAAAGATACGGAGCTGTGATTGGCTGAACCGAGCAGGTTAGGTTAGTTGTGTTACCGAGTTGTTACCATAATATATTTCATATAGATAAGAGAATTTAATCCTAAACGTTATTTTATGTGATACTAACATTTATACTCAAAGTTAGTAACTGATAGATATCGCTAATTTTCATGCATTTGTTAATCCCGCCCATTTAATATTTCGAATATTTTATAATATTTTCAACGTTCAAAAAATAATTTTATATAAAATATGTATCAACTATTATAAGTATTATAATTATTTCTACAACATATTTAATATTTATTATTCATACATTTATGTGTATTATTATTGTTTATTTATATGTTTATTTTATATTTTATGCTACTTCTTATCACAAGCCGATGATCAAATCATTAGTTATACTTTCATGTTTCTCACTAAGTTCTAAATTCTAATACCAACTAACTCTAGGGCTTGATTTAAGTATTTTGAGACATAACGCAAGGTAGAATACGAGGCCTCTACTTTTCAACAGCAGCAAATCTAAACTCTCTCTTCTCCTCACAGGTGGTTGACCAACAAAAAATATTAAACATCAATATGTGCATCATCAAATAATAGTACTGAGGAGTTCATGTTTTCTTTACATCAATCCTTTTTAACCGCGAGTTTAAATAGTAAGCATATAACCTGTGATGACATATTAAGTAATAATTATAAAAAACCATCAAATAGGTACTCAAATATATTATAATGGATTTTATTCAGCATGCAATTTTTATACTACAATACAAAATTCATTAAAAACATGTATACATCAAATGATTATAAAAAATGTTTCTAATAAAATGTCAAATTGTTTGTTATTTGTAGCAGTATAAATGAAAATTATAAGATTGTTTTAAAAGAACACAAAAATAAAATAAAATGAAATACTGATTGATAATGAAAACACAGCTTCCGGCAAATATGAAATGTAAGCATTTTTAATCAAATGTTTACTAATTCAAGAGCTGAAATTGATAATAGTATTGATATGAATGATTTTAAATTAAGAGAGTGAAATGAACTCAACAATAATTGTTGTATAGCTAATTCTATTTATTTTAAGCCAATTGAAGCTGGTGGTGAAATAAGTTACTTTATTAGTAAATGTAAAAACACTCCTCCTTTTATGAATGATCTTTGACTAAACTGTTTTTAAAAAAATATCTAATATATATCACAATTCGCACCTTTAGAACAAGACTGAAACAATATGTCTATTTTGGAATTATGTAAAAATAGATTTTTAAATTCAAAAACACTACATTCAATATCACTTTTCATTCAGCCGCTAAAAAGTGTGTCAGTATTAAATTATTTAAATTTTTAGGTAATTTTCAAAGCAAGAGAGCTATAATTACTGTATGACAGTATATTTACTTTAATTTAAGCAATTAATCACTGAAGTCAAAATTCAAGACTGCCTTATTTTAATTTGTGGCGTTCTTGCACTAAATAAAAACTAGTTATTGTTCGATATGTTGAGAGCAAACAGCAATGTATTATGGCGGTATTGCATTTTATAATTTGTGAAATTTCAGCCACAATTGAAATTCAATACTGCCATGTTTAGTATTGTATGGCTGTATTAAAATAAATGTCTGTATGCAGTAGAGCTACATCTCAAAATGTGACAGTTCAGCATGTACTTAAATATTGCCAAAAGCCGCAAGTCTAACTTTTTGGGCTTAAAAGAGTACTTCATAATATTTGAAAAAGTCAAATTGTAAAGTATGTTAACGAGTTTCAATTTCAAACGCATAATTAAAGAACTCTTTAAAATATCTTAATTCTTGAAATCATGTTTACTGAAAACATTAAATTTAAGTTGCAGCTATCTTGATCTATATGTCTTGTTATCTAATAGGTATATTCAATAAGTGTTTATCTGTGGGAGAATTTATAAGGAGTTACAAAAATACAAACATTAAAAACTGCATTAACTAGTAACTATGGACCAATAACATCAAGGTTGACAATATCTAAACAACTTAAAAAAATTTTTATTAATAAGATTGACAGAATTTTTGGATAAATATAAATTCTTTAGTAAACATTTATTTGGAAACTAAATTTTGGGTTAAACAATGTTAAATTCTGATTGAAAAATAATTCTCTTCAGATTAGCTTTGATAAGTTTTCATTTAAGATTCCAAGCGGAGCAAATAAGAATTTTCTTGTTTTATTATTATTTAAAAACTAGTAAGTAAACTACTATTAGGTACTTGAAATTGTTATCAAATGTTTATTTTACCATTTTCTATGCATGATAAAATTTTCAGAATATTGTACTTGTTTTTGGATTTACTATGGACATTTGAAATTTGAAAAATTGTTTTTCCTGCAAATGTTAATAAAGGGTCAAAATGCTTGAAAATTTAATGCAAGGTTTCTCACAAGCAGTTACTCTAGCAGTTGAGAATATTAAAGATCCATAATCAAGATTTTCTTTTACAAGTATCTAAACTTCAAATTTTTACAAAATTGATTAAAATTTTAAAAATGTTCAAATTATTTTGTAGCTTATAAATTATAAAATGTTCAATTTTCATAGCTGAGGATTGAAAATTTATATTCTCAAAAATAATTCATATTATGTTAACCAAAAAAATGTTTAAACACAGTTCTATTTTGTAGACATTGGAATTTCAAATTTGGACAAAATTACATATTATAACTGAGAATAATGATTTTAGTTATTTTGTTGCAATTTAAAAATATTATTTGTGGGTACTTGAAACTTTTATAGTGTTTTATTATACTTTATACACATAACGACATTTTTAAATACAATTTTTCGGTAAATATGAATTTAACCTACTGTAGTACCAATGCCTAATGGTAAAATAAATTTCCTTCATCACGAAAATATCATAAAATATCCATATTACTTGGTAATATTTTAGGGTGAGAGAATATCTTCACTCAGAAAGGCTTTTGGAAATGAGTTTAACAAAATGTTACTTAGTAACATTTGTACACTAAACAAGTACTAGAGATTGTTGTTACTCTGATATTAAAAAGAAAAACTTAGTAAAATACTTAGGCCTGTATCTTGACAATCGTTCATTAAAGTGGAATATACATATATAAACTTATACATTGCTTAGGAAAATTTTTCTACATTTTAAAACTCTAAAATATATTCTGAGTGTAACTTAAAATTATTATACAAAAAACTTTAATACAACCCATACTCAATAGTCTTGTAAGGAGTTGCCCTCTGGGGTTCTGTTCATAAAAGGTATAAATTAATATCCTATAGTTGATAATCATTCTTGGGTGAAGGTATAAGTTGTCTGTGAGTAGAACTACATTGTTGTTTATCATTTGCTAACTTTATTGCATACATTTAAATCAAACATATTTAAAAAAACATTTTTTTACTGACGGCACCTAAATAATTACCTATAATAGTTGCTCAGCTGCCCGCGTACCAATAATATTACATAATATTAAGGAGCTTACACAGACTACAGAGCGCTAACTTTGGACAAAATTATGTATACTGACTTAAGTTTTCTACTTACCGGATTTTTCTTGACTTTGAATGATTTATACACAGACTTAAAAGTTAAAGCTTAGAACGCGAAATGATATATTTATAATAGAACAACAAACATAGCGAATCGACGTGAATCTCTGGAGTACTAGTAGGTACTAAATTTTAATGTCAAGACGTTACCTATTTGCGACCAGTCAGTAATAACACTCATTCATAGATATTATTATTATTATATTATTATATATAGAATTTGAAAGTATTTTTAAATATTCTAGAAGTCGTATATTCTTGGAAATTCTTCTATTCCGTGGAGGACGAATTGGTCTTAAAATACGTTGAATTGCAGTAATTGTCAATATTAATATATCAATAGTTTTCAGTATTCAGATTTTAATAACGAATAACCAATAGCATAATATATTAATAATATTCTGTGATAGTGAGGTACAGTGATTATAGTTTAAGTACACCTAAAGATATTTTTGTATATTCCAGTATTTTCCGTGCTTGGTGCGTGTCGACTCGACTGTCTAGCGCTCACTCCTCACCAGCGCTGACGGGCTCCCGATAAATTGTTTATTATAATCATTTTATTACTGAAGTCGGGTTATCATTCTTGTTTTGCCGATTGCTAGACCACGTGTAGCTCCAGTTCAGTCCATCGTTTAATATTGGTTCATCATCGACGATCGTTCGGTAAGTACGTTTTATTTCTTGTCGATATTATCCTGAACAACGTACATATATGTCTACCTCCACTACGCCTCTAAAAACGTGTGGTAATCTCGTTGGTTAGACTTTTAAGTCATTTGCTGTTTAGTAAATAGTACTACATATTGTACTACGGTAGTTGCATATTATACTCTATTAGAACTTTGAAGTAGGTACGTACCTAATGTAGAAATTAAACTATTGTACAAAACAATAGTTCCATTATTTCGTACTACTAATATTATCTTATAGGTACTTTTGGTAATTTTAATTTTACGTTATAAACTTAGATACCTAGGTGACAAATGCCTCGACAAATTTACCTATTTGATAAACAGTCATGTAAAGTGCATATTATTTTGCATGAGAATTAGTTTTCTCTTTAAAGATGTTCCTATTTATAAGAATACCGGAATATGGACATGAATTATGAATACTTGCTCAAGTATTTACGATTTCTATTTAAATACAAATATAGGTAGGTAAGTGCTTTGTACAGCCTTTCTATGTAATATGTGCGTGTTATAGATCACTGTGTATTATGCATGTATTTTTCAAAACAAATTATTTTAATAGCATTATTTTTTCTTTGACTAGTTCTGGCGTATGCTTAGACATTTGCTTACTGATAATATTAAAAATGATAATTTATTGTTATTGCCAATTGTACCTATTGTTGTGTACCTATAATAATTTTGTTAAATAAATTAATGTTTAAACTATTTAATATATCATTATATAATTTAAATACTTAAGGAAATGTGTTCAAAAAATTAAAACATTACATTATGGATTTATATAATTAATATATTATTATATACTATTATACTATTTGGATGAATTGATATCAATTGTTTTACCTACTAATTTTTAGTATAATCTATTATCTATGTTGAATACTATTAATAACAATACCTAATACAATTCCATAATTTTTTTAATGCACCTACTTTCATAGTTATATACAATTATACTATTTGTTATAACCAAGTATCTTTGAAAATGTGTGAATTGTATTAATATCAATAATTTTTCTTGTTTACTGTGTTAAGCATTTATCTTTCACTGCACAGAATAGGTACACCATGTCAAAGATAGCCTAAATGTAATAGTTCCCACCATGTAGCAATAATTATTTTAATTATAATAAAATTACCATTTATTGGTGGTAATGGGCACCATATCTGTGTTTGTTTAAAATGTTAATATTTTTTTTGCTGTATTGTGAGAAAATATTATAATTAATTTTGCTTTGTTTTTTCTTTTAGGTACATCATTTAATTTTTCTTTTACAATGTGTGAATTAATAACATTATTATTTAAAATATATAGGTTATTCAGTACCAAAAGTGAATCTTGTTGAATGTATTATCTCTATATCAGGAGTTGGAGTATCTTAAAAACAATTGTTGTATAACTATACAATTAGGCTTATAATTATTAATTTTGTAAGCTTAAGAAAATATTAAATATTTTTTTTTTTAGATTACCTACCTTGTTGTAACATACGTTTAAGTAGGTACCTATAATATTAATTAACTCTATGATTATGCAGGTTCAACATATATATGCTATATAATACAATTTCCTTATTGTGATTTAGTAAAAAGTCACTATATTATATTTCTCATAATTTAACAAAATTGCTTTTACATCAGATGTATTGAAAGTTTGAAACTTTTTCATTCCTCTCTTTCGGCTCTTTAAAATATTTTGGTGGCTTTCAAATTATTAAGAATACAAAAAGATAATATTATAATCAGTCTTGTACTAGGTACTTTTTAACGCGTAATTTGGGAAAAATATCCAGGGTTGCAAAAGTTACTCGGGGTGCACAAACCCGTAGGGGCTTTGCTCCCACACCCCCAACATTATAAAAAATGTTTTAATATAACCATATTATTATATTATATTAACATAAAATACATTAAAAATCTATATAATTATTTTTATAAATAAATACTAGTTATTAAAAAATATAATAATGAACAATAAAATTTTAAGAATAACAATTAAGTTTTAAAAATTATTAAGCTTTAAACGACGTGGTATTGTAGATGAGTCAAATTGTTTTATGACTTCATCCTTATTAATATTTAACAATCTTTCACGTTCTATTTGTAAAATTCTTAAATGATTTAATCTAGATTGTCCCATAGTACTTCTTAAATAGTTTTTTAATCGTCGGAGACAAGAAAAGCTTCTTTCACATGCTGCTGAATTTGATGGTATAGTTAAAAAAAGTTTATATAATTTTGCCAATGTCGGAAACCCAATAGCATTATCAGCTGACCTCAAATATTTTATTTTAGATTGGATAGTATTTTCAGTATTCAGACTTTTGTACATCCTATTAAATATCTTTGTTTCAGACTTGAGTTCACTTTCATTAAAACCATACATTGTACTAACATCTTGAAATGAAGTGAACTTGATTGGTTAATTTACTATTATATCTTGCATACAGTTTAAAATATGTATGTCATTTTCTTTAAATCTTTCTTTCATATCACTTATTATAGTATCAAGAACTTGGAAGTATATGTTTATTTTATAATGATCAATTATTTTTATTATTATTATTATTATTATAAATTATTTTTGTAATTACATTACAATTTTCATTTTGTTTTAAACCTCCACCAAGTTTTTAGGAACTTTTAGTTGTCTACTTAGTATTGGGGAACATATTTCATTATCTATCCTCATAACATTAGCTTTACACCATATCACATAAAATCTATCTTCACATCGCATATTAGAGAGTTCTTGAATGGTTGCTTTGGTCATATGCTGTACACTAGAATAGTCAATATTAGAACTCTGTAGATACTTTGACAAAATATTAGTAATGAACATAATGTCTCTGAAAAAATGAACACAAAATAAAAATTCAAATGTTTTCATTGATTTTAATAATGAATTTCCATCTGACTCATGTATAGAATCATTCTCTGAAATATTTTCTAACGAGTCAATTACAACTTGGTTATTAAATATAAGAGACTCTAAAGTATCTATGCGACAACTACTACGAGTATAGCTAAGACTTTTCAAAGTAGATGGCCCATCACCCATTTTCATATTTAACTTTGAACGCATATTGTCAAATACAGCTTGTCTTTTAGATGAAGCATTAATGAAATCATGTTAAGTACTTAAAGTACCAAATACATTTCTTACATGAGATATTTGTTTAGATACTAGATAGATCAACAAGACATAAGTTAAGTATGTGTGCATTGCAGTGAACATATAAAGCCAAAGGATTTTCTTCCTTAATTCTTGACTGGACTCCTTTGTAAGCACCTCGCATTGATGCTGCTTCATCTAGCATTGTCCTCTTAAACACTCAAGTTGTAATCCATTAGAACTAAGAACATTTTTTATTAATAAAGAAAGTGTCAAACCATCTGTACTCTGTAACTTTATAAAATCCTAAAAAAGCCTCAATTGGGCAAAAATCATTATTAACATATCTTAAAATAATTGCAACTTGTTCATGCCTTGATAAATCTTGTGTTTCATCAACAATTATACTAAAAATATTAGCAATTAACACATTATCAACAATATCTCTGATAACAATATTAGCCATATATCCAAGAAACTCATTTAAATATTCACCACTCACATACAGCAACTTCTTGATTATATTGTGTATTAACTTTATTGATTATACTACCAGATTGCTTAGCTTCGTTATATCCAGCTATTTTTGTAATTGATTCTTTATGTGGTACTGATTGTTCATGCTTTGGAAAAGATTTAAAATAAGCATTTGACCACTGAAGAAAACCTTTGCTAATAAATGTTATATCTGATTTATTAGACGGAAAGGCACGACAATAAAAACAATATGCCGAATCTTTACTAGGACTATGTTCTAGCCAAGGAAAATATATGAACCATTCCGATCGAAACTTTCTACCTCCACGTTTTAGAAAATCATAATTTTTAGGTTGATAAGGACCAAAACCGTTCAACAACAAATAATATGCATTTTCCTTACCTTGACAAGGAACATGATTTGTATCAATAATAGGTGTATTTAATGTTGACTTGTTGGGACTTTCTACATGCAAAGTATCCAAAGATTTGTCTAAAAAAAAAAAAAAAAAATCATAAAAAAAATTATAAATATTTTAATTATATTTCATCTTTTATTTATCTTTCATTGAAATTGTGTTCTTTGAAATTGTATTAGAAGCAGTAAGTTTATTTTCCTAAAAATTAAATAAGTTTATTAAAGTTATTATTTGTAATTTAATTACTCATACAAGATCAGATAAATTGTTTAAAATGTTAAATAATTTTACTATTCATTTAATTAAGTCAAAAATTAATGAATTTATTGACTTTAATTGTCCTTTCTTTTACACACCACATACACATTTATAGTTAATAAATTAATATGTTTATTATATAAATATAGTGTGTTTTAATAGTTAATTATATAACTGATAAAATCATAACCATGCAGATTATGTTTAAAAAATTGATAAATTGTAATGACATATATTTATTATTTTAAGTTTTTAATTCTCACTGTTTTAGATGATTCGTTAAACGTGTCCATTTTAATTTTTTTGTAGCAAGTGATTTGCTGATCATCCAACTTCAAATTCTAGCTACAGTTTCATTGATTTTGTCTTAAAATTAATTTAATTATTTAATTATACAGTAGGTACCCTAAGAAATTATATTGTATTATATTTAAATTACATTTATACAAGTAGATGTTTATTTTAAATAAACCTATAGTTAAAAATTGTTATATGTTGCCACCTTATAATATACCATGATATTTATAATAATTAATACCTAAATATTAAAAATAAAACTTATTCCTAATGGTCAGTAATTTAGCAAACAACTTAATTAAGTAAAATTATCATAATTTATCTTTTGTTAAAAAAGATTAAAATACTTAAATTAAAATGTTTATGAAGTAGGTTTGCAATTTACTATATGTATTACTAAATAAACCACAGCTTGTATTAGTGAAGAGTTCAGAGAAATAAATGTAATATAAATAAACCACACACATAAAAAATATGTACATATTGAATTACTCCAAAACTTAAATAAAATAATTTAAATAGTATATTATGTTACTTACCTTGGACAATGGACAGCTTAATAACGAATTTGTCCATATTCATCAATAAAACACAATACCAATATCAAAATATTTAGATATATTGACTAGGTATTCACAAATAACCATTAAAAATAAATACCAAAATAATTTAAGCAAAATGAAACCAAAATTCACTAAAAAAATAATATAACAAACGTTCACACTCAAATCAATATTATAAAATGTCAAGAAAAAAACAAAATAATATATTAAATACTGAAAGACGATAATAATACGACGACATAGAAGTTTTATTCTTAAAATAGATTCGTTTTTATTTAATTTATTATTATAAAGGATAACAATCACGATTAAAGATATAATATTTCTAATTCTAATATTATATAATCAGGGCTATGAATTTAATGCACTTAAAAACTATTAAATATGCATTCATATATGCACTTTAATTTGACAAAATATGCTCTAAAAATTCTTAAAATATGCAAAAAAAAACTACAAAAATTAAACTTTTATTTTTATTTTTTTCATTAGTATAATTTTTTTATTAATTTTAGTTTAAATATTAGTATTTTTACTTCTTGGTATAAGTATATGAGTTATTGATCTTAACTAGTCTTGGTCTTCGTCGTATACAAGATATATAAAAGAAATATAAATTATATAAGTAATATAATTAAATATAATTAAAATTATATATTTTACCTTTAAAGTAGTTATTGCATTGAACAACCAATGATTTCTTCAGGTTTTCGAACTTGAAAGACCCGTTTGGTGCCAACAAAGTTTTATATAAAGAAAAGGAGCGCTCTACGTCTGACGAAGTTATTGGGGCAAACTTGAAATACGTCATGTCGCTACTGGTTAAATCTTCTGGTATATCTAAATCTACATCATTTTTTTCGCCAGTTAATATTTTTGAAATATTACACATCATTTGAAACCCTTTGTTTTTGTTGAGTACTATTTGTAAAAATAGAATAATTTCGATAAAACTATAAAAATTATAGTTTATACTATAAGATTGACCGAAAAAATGTAAATATTACGAAAAAAAATTATTAAAACATGCATTTATATGTCCTAACCCATGAAATATGAAAAAATATGCAAAATAAAATTTGAACTACAAATAAGTCAAAACAAATTTTGGCCGAATCCATTTTTTTATAAAGTGTAGCAAAAAAAACATGCAAATGCATTAAATTCACAGCCCTGTATATAATTTATTTTTAGATTAAAACTTGTCGTATTCTTATAGATGTTATCATCAGACATTTTCTCATTCTCCAATATTTTTTTTTTCATAATTATTTAACTAAATGTCTAAATAATTACTTATTTTATTTTTTTTTACTATCGATCTATAAAACATAAATATGGAATTTTCAAGGGTTGCAAAATAATACTTTTGCAACCCATACATTATATTTGGGGTCGCAAGTGACCCTCCAATTACGCCACTGCTTTTTAAAATGATTCAAGTTTAGTCACAAAATCTCATTTTCAAAGGTATTAAAACCCTATGAATATTCAGTAAAAAAAGAATTTGTGTACAACATTGTAATATAAATACATTTTAAAAAAAGTGGGTAATTGTTTAACACTCTGTTGTACATTAGATATCTAGAAAGTCACTGTAATATATATTGTATTAAGTTTGAAGTCAATAATCATTGTAGTCAAAAAACGATTCTGATCAAAGATTGTCGGCCTTTAACATTACTAAGTATGTTTAATAATATTATTGTGATTAAAGTAATTAATTTTACTTTTAGTATTACAGTTAATTATATTGACATTTATAGTAAAATAAACTAAAAAAATTGAACGTCTATAAATAACTCAATACAAGTCAAAATATTTTTTCGTGTAGAAAAAATGATAAAATAAACATACATTTCAACTTTCAAGTACATATTTAGTTACTTTTCAGTTCAATATCCAATGTCCAACTTCAGTCACTCGTAAAAAATTAATTTGTTTTTCGGGTTAACTTTTTTTTTATGGTAAATGTGGAAAACTTAAAAAAAAATCGTGTGTACAAATTTATAATTTTGGATAAACAATTACAGTTTTTTATACATTTCTAACTCTCAATAAATTGCCAATTTTCGTGATTTTGATAAAATTTGTCAAAATGATAACTTCAAAATCTCATAAAAATTATTGTGGATTTACTTTCAACTTCTTCTTTTTTAAATTTCCACCAACAACAACTTTAGAGGAACATTGTATTACATTTTCAAGTTTTTTGACCTTACAAAAATTGGTTTACCAACAACAATTAACAAATAAAACTCAAATTTTTTGATGTTTATAAATACCTATAAAAATTGCAATGTTTTAAAAATATGATGGTGTATAGACATTTCTAGTAAAAAAAATTCAGTACAATAGTATCTACATTCTACAGTTATTTTTTTAAAGTTACCTACACTCTAGAGTCTTACCTAACCTCTAGACTTCTAGAGTCTAGAGTTACATACACTAAAAAACAAAATTTTTTTTGCATAAAATTCAGTTTATCCTTAATTTTTTGTTTGTTTTTCCTGAAACTTTTGAAAACTTGGGAACTAGAATTTTACTTTGATTTCGATTAATTATAATTCACAGTAAAAATATACTATTAATTATTTTATTTTATGGTATAAAAGTTAAAATAGAAAATATATAAGCTAAAAAGATTTATTAATTTGATTTTAAATACAAAACATTTTCCTTATTAAAGGTGAAGACAGAAACATATACTTGCCAATTTTCTTATAGTAGTTGATAAGTATATTATACTATACTTAATTATTAACTATTACTCTATGTTCTAAGCATATACAATTTTATATAATTAGGATAAATGATTAAACTTTTAGTAATTGGGAATAAGTTGTATTAAAATATTTATGAAAAGGCTTTGAAGTTAAAAAGTTCCATCTCGTGGAAATTTGAACTATTTTAAAAATAATTAAGTTTTTAACACAATTTTATAATTTATCAAATATTTATAGAACTTACATATTACATATTGTTAAATTTATTTTTTGTTTTATCATTAATAACTTAGCAGATATACTTGAGTACTTCCCACTAGTGGAAATAAATTGGATTATCATGCCATGTACACTTGTTGAACTACATATGTGTCACGGTCTACATTTTGTGGGTGGGTGGTATGATACATTATAGAGAGGAATAGCATAAATCAAAAATGAAATTGATTGTCTTTTTCAGTAAATTTTGCTGAATCTCTAACTTTGTTCTAAAGATTTATTTGGATTTCAGAGCATTATTTTTAAGGAACTCGTGTAGTTTTATAAAGGAAAAGCTAAACAATTATCAAATGGTGAAGCCTCGCCATAATCATTATTCCAGTGTTAATGAATGTTGTCAGAAATGAGATAATGCTCATAAAATAATAATTATTAAGTCTTTCACACAGTTAATAGTTTACTTAGAAAGTATTTATATTCAATGTGTTAGTATTAGAGTATTACATATTTACATATAATGCTATGAGTAGGGTTGGATTCTACTCTCTGGTCTATGAAATGTACAATGGTTACACTGTGATTACTGTTTACTAACTGCTAAATTCTGCCAATCACAGTTCTATATATTTTTTTTCCAGAGATCACAGTTTACAGAGCAGTGTACACTATACAAGAACAGCTGTATAGTTGTCTTTGAGCTGTTTGAAATCACTTGTTGATAAAAACATCCCAGGTTGTTGTTGTTAACAAGTGACTTTTACTCAATTTTTTTCCACTAGTATTCTTTGTATTTTGTCAAAATAATAATGACTTCAAAGTCATTCTTAGATGAATTTGGGGACAGTAAGTTCTTTATCAGTATTGCATTTTAACCAGATACTAACGGATTGACATTTTAGGTTTGGCAAACCTTCCTGTAGAGTTGCATCGAAACTTCACTCTGATGCAAGAACTCGATTCAAGATCTCAAAAACTGATGACCGAAATTGACAATATTGCAGGAAATTATATGTCAAATGTCCAAAAAAACTCGAAAGAAGAGAAGAAAGAAACTATGGCAAGCATTCAACGTAAGTTTGACGCAGCTAAAGAATTAAGTGATGATAAAATTCAGTTATCCACACAAGCGTATGAGTTGGTATGTAGATGTTGATTTGTTAACTTAACCCTAGAGATGTTCTACATCATTGTACTTACGTTTTAGGTGGATAAACGAATTTTGACATTAGATTCAGAAATAGCAAGATTTAAAGCTAAAATTAAATTGAAGTCTGAAATGAGTGATGCTGCCATCAAAGCTAAAAAAAATTTACAAACAAAAACAGGTTTTTGGATAATATGATCTTAGTCTTGTTAAAGGTTATTTTAATGTATTACAATATTTTTTAGGAGGTACAAAAATGACAAGTGCTGCACCTTCAGTCAGTGCTGTCTCTGATCCAACAAGCTCAGTTACAGTGGAGACTAAATCCCTTACAGGTGCATTAGTTGATGCAGGCGTTGCACATTCAGTTTATGCAGACATGCCTATCGATCCCAACGAACCAACATTTTGTTTATGCAACCAAGTATCCTTTGGAGAAATGATAGGTTGTGATAATCCAGATGTAAGCATTTTAATTTTAATTTAACAGTTACATGTATTCATTGTTTCATTTTATTTTGCAAAACATCCTATTTAATATTGCAACCAAGTTGAATAATGTTTAATTGTTTTTGTTAATATTATTTTATTGTTTGGTTTTTGTATAACTTACTTTTTAATTGTGTGGTAATATAATTTTAGTGCGCTATTGATTGGTTCCACTTTGCATGCGTCAATTTAGTTGCAAAGCCCAAAGGAATATGGTTTTGTCCAAAATGTGCAAAAGACAAGAAGAAAAAATAACACATTCTTAAATTAAAATGTATTATATATTTATAGGTACATGTATGTGTACCTATGAATGTACGATTAATATTACATTATTTAATTTTGTGTTAATTTTTATTGTGAACAATTGACTGTAATTATTTTAATTTTTAATATTCTTACTGTTATTGAATTACATACAAATTGCAGTTTAAAATGTATTTGTTTTAATATATTTATTTCTATATGAGGTTTCCAAATGAGTTGTTGAAAGTATAGAGACATTTTTCACACAACATTTAGATAGTATCACTGTTCAGTCATAGGAAGCTATATAATATTAAACTTAGGAATTAAAGTGTTGGCCGAGTGTTAGGACACTAGTTCTAACTAGGCCCAAGTCCATTATATTGGAATATATTTTGTCGGAACAATATTTTGTTGGAATTTGTTTTTTCTGAAAATATTTTATCAGAAACGTATTTTATTGAACCATTTGATCCTGTATTTTGTCGGAATCGTCTGAAAATCATGCATTAACTAGCAGAAAAGTATTATGTTTGTAATATTTTAAACAATAGTGCCATAAGATATGTATTGTTAATGGTGCGTTGTTTGCGAGCAAGGTGAGTATCGTTTAAGTATTTTCTTTAGTTTTTTAATAATGAACTTGAGGGTGAGACTTTAAAAAACCTATTTTTTTTCTGAACTCTGCTCCTTTTCATAACTATCATTACTTATTATTATTGAAGTTAAGAAGAATATGCCTTATATCTACAAATATTGTTTACTTCATTAACACAAGTGCAATTAACACTATTCGCTTTAAAAAAATTACCGAATAATGATATTGTATTAAATTTCAGACGTTATACGATGCTATAAAACATAAAATATCTAATACCCACGTATTGTACTCTTTATTGATAGATATAGGTAGGTCACAGGTGTAACAAACACTCTGTTCTATCGGAACTTGTGCTTAGATCGAATTCAATTTATAAATTCCTCGAATTATAGGTAACTAAAACATGGACAAATTTAACGTTACCTATTCTTAAATTGGAATTAAAAATACACACTTAATAAAATATTTTTCAAGCATTATTCGTATAATCTAAAAATCTTTATTTTACCTAAGAAGTAAGTAAAATAAATAACTTCGAAAGTCGTCTGTTAAATTTACAGAACAATGATGTGTAATGCTTAAAAAAAAATTAAACTTTTTAATTACTTACCTATGAAAAGTGGGTGAGTGGGTAACGCTCTGCTGTAGATAAATTACGCGTTTAGGGAGTCAGTAAAGTAATTCCTATCAATCGCTTTTTAATTTTTTTGTTATTAAAGACAGATAACTGTAGACAATTAAAATGTTCACCAAAAATATGTATATTAGAATTATCCATATATGGTTAAATCTTTAAAGTATTTTGATTCTTTTTTGTTATCTATGGTCATGAGAAATTGGATATTGAAATGTGTGTGGAGTAACTTAAAAACATACAATCTAAAAATGGTGTTTTTCGCTTTAGTCCAAATCTGTTCAAACCATGATTTAATTATATGAGGATTAGCTTATAAAAACGTATTTTGTAATTATTTTCTGTGGTAATAAGAGGTATAACGAGTTTCGCATAATATTATAATTTGTAAGTGCAATAAAATAAAGTGATGTGGTATCATTCTTGTGTGTTTATAACAGACGGAGTATTTTTGACCATGATGTATTACATTAAATAATAATAAAATGTCGTATGTAAGTAAAATGCAGTAAAATGTTTAAATAAAATGTTTTACAATCATTTTTAATATGTTGTAATATAGATATTTTTATATTAAATATACGCTCAAGCTAGTCCGTATAGCACAATACCAGGGTGAACATTCAAAATAAATTATCGCCAAAAATCGATTGAGAACAACATTTATTTTTTGAAGATTGTGGAATATCCTTATTTTGGCACCCTCACGTGGTTCGCCTACAAATATATTTTGAAAATGCTTGGTCTTTAGTTGACATAGATTATAGATCCTACGTTGTTCAGTCAGAACATGTCCGATTATAAATATGTACCAAAAAGTAAATTTTGAATTGGTAAATAATTTTTATGTAGAGTAAATGTATGCTATAAAAATGTTGGAGAACACAGTGACATAAGATATGTGTTGTTAAAGGTGCGTTGTTTTCGAACGAGGTGAGTAGCTTCGTGCGGGTGCGGCTTAAGTATTTTCTTTAGTTTATTTTAATAATAGGTACACTTGAGGGCATTTTATTTAAAAAATCTATTTTTTTAACTCGGCTTCTTTTCATAACTATCATTACTTATTATTATTAACGATAGGAAAAATATGCCTTGTATCTACATGTATATACTTTCTTAAAACAAGTGTAACTAACACTATTCGCTTTAAAAAAATTACCGAATAATGATATTGTGTTAAACTGCAGACGTTATACAATGCGATGAAATATAATATATCTAATACCCACATATTGTACTTTTTATTGATAGATATAGGTAGGTCACAAGTATAACAAACACTCTGTCTTATCGAAACTTAAACTTTGTGCTTCAATGGAATTAAATTTTTAAATTCCTCAGAAAATAGTATAATATTATAGGTAACTAAAACATAGACAAATTTAACGTTACCCATCCTTAAAATTAGACTAAAAATACACACTTAAAATAAAATATTTTTTGTGTATTGCCATGTAAATGTAGCACAAAAAAAGGCTCCTACTTTGGTTCCAAAATTCCGAGGTCGGGATGTCAGCGAAATGCACCTGATGGAATTACATACTAGGCAAGGATGACAGTTTTAGTTATTTTTATTGTAATTTAAAAACATTAATCGTGGTTACATAAAACTTTAAGAGGATATTATTATATTTTTTACATAAAATGACATTTTCAGATCATTGAATTAGAATTCAATATATCCGTTAAAGGGACTCAACAGACGCCAAACGTACCTACAGCAGAGCTTTACCCACTTACCCACTTTTAATAATTTAGTAGTTTCATTGTTCTTATTCAAACATTGCTACAAATATGAAATCACACATTTTTTTATGTATTTTGTTATATATACCTTTTTAGATTATACGAATATTGTTTGACAATATTTTATTTTGTAAGGGTCTTTATTAGTAAAATTTCAGAATTGGTAACATTCACGACTAGTTTATGTATTTTATCGCATTGTATAACGTCTGCAGCTTAATACAATTTCATTATTCTGTAATTTTATTAAAGCGAATAAAGTTAGTTACACTTGTGTCAATAAAGTATACAATATATAGGTATAACTGGTATAAGGCACATTTTTTTATCGTTAATAATAATGACTCTTGTGAAAAGAAGCAGAGTTCAAAAAAAAAAAATAGGTTTCTTAAATTATCCCCCACAAGTGCATTATAAATATTTCGAAGCAGTTATTATATATTGTAATTTAATTGAAATAATTTTAGGTTTATTATTTTAGGTACCTATGATACACAATATTGTTCATAGTAGAACATTTGTCTATATTGGGAGCCCATAGTCAAATGCGAAAATGTATAATATCACTTGGAATTTTGAGTGGGACATTGAAATTTCATACTGAATAACCAGCTTGAATAACTCATCCAATAAGCATTAGATAACTAAAAAAATATTTAAATGGATAAGATAAAATAAAGTTATTATCTACATAATCTCAATTCTCAGCATGGCCTACCTATTTATAATCATTCAACCTTTTTGGAATACCTATAATTGCTTAATTACCTACATTTACTATACATATTATCATCGATTATTGAAGCATAGAATTAAATTATTAAATAGCTTACAGTGTCATATACTTATACCATAGGTCCACTTACGTGTCATATATTATTTTAAGATTTATGGTAATCATTTAGACGTACCTACCTAATTATTCGGAGGTAGACATTTCAAAAAGCATGAATGATAACTTATGGCATGAACTAAGAACGGGGTGAATGAAAACGATGGTGTGATTAAAAACAAAACAAGGAAAGTTAATATTTCGAAGTCTCCAGGACCGAATTTTTGTGTTATCGATATGAAACTTTTTCTAAGCCTAAACACATTCGTAAGCAATTCGGTGAACTCTTAACACTCGGTTTATTTCTACCTCCATGATTTCTTACTACTTAATACATTTTACATATTACATTGTTCATATTTTAGCTTGTGTTCTTAAATTATATGAACTTTTAAACAAGGTTGGACATCAGTTAGTCGATTGCTTTTAATAAGTTAGGTGCATAGGTACATATATTGATATAAATAGGTTAAATTATCAATACATCAATTTAATTTTAATTTTAATTCAACGTCATTCAATATATACGTCTCCTTCAATCCATTAAACCTATGTAAAATACAAAGATTTCGTACCACTTTAACGAATTAAAAACTAAGTTGAAGCTACGTTGATTTTATAACATAGCTACATAACGAGTTACTTTTTTTAAAGTAAATAACTTTTAACTTAATGTCAGTTGTACCGTCTACGGTTATACTTCGATTATTTTTCTAATTGAGAATAGAAAAGAAAACTCAATTACCCAGTATCCTAAACCTACAGGTTTGTATTTTAAGTAAGTACAATTAATAATTAATTGTTATTATTATATTTTTCTATTGATAACGATGAATTAGAAAAAAGTAACTGATCATTAACTAAGTCAAGTTACTTTTTTTCCAATTAACTTGTGTAACTTTTACAAGAAAAAATTTTTTTTCATTTTTTCCATATTATTATTATCTCTAGCATAATGAGTTTTAAAAAAAGAATCAATTTACCGTTGTAGTATATTATAGATACTAAAATTGTTTAATAAGTTAATATTAGGTAAGTACACTCTACATAACATTGATTAAACATCGCTCAGCACGGGCGTTGGTGGTGTAATGGTCAGCATAGTTGCCTTCCAAGCAGTTGATCCGGGTTCGATTCCCGGCCATCGCAGCAACTTTTTTGCTGAGTAAATTGTTTGGGTTTATTTGATTTTTTTGTTTATATTATATTAGTTCATAGGGACTAAATCCCCATTTTAAAACCATTTATTATTTTTGGAAATGAATAATAATTAGTGTTCTGACATCTATAATTTATGAAGCAACAGCAATAAAATGTGAACCTAACCTCCAG